AATGTACAACAATATAAAAAATGACGGTCCAAACAAAGAATAAATCTACAGAGAAGAACGTAATTTTCAAATGGGTACAAAAGGCAACGTAACCATGCTCTGCGGTGAAAAAGAAACACCAAGCGGACAATGTCATATAATTGAGTACTGAGGGTGACCTGTTATGGAGATCACATCAATGTAAACGATTGTCTTATGTAGAACATTGGGGAAGACAAAACTGGAGTTGAAAAAATCCGCTCGGGAGATGTTGCGCGGAAACGAGTTCGGGGAATAGAAGGAGGGTGGTGAACGTGAAAGCTTTAGAATTTCAAATGAAGAGCTGCGGTTGAACCAAGGAAGTGCAACGGAATACAGTAGGACGACAAATGGATTATAAACAAACTGTTTTAAGGATCGTTACAGGTGGACTGACTTCTTGAACAAGGAGTCACCGGTAACGGATTGACTGATTTGCATTATTTATGTTATTCAGGCGTTGGTCGCTTTGATGTGGGACTGACTACATGCTGGTCACCCAACCTTAAAACACCTTGTAGGTGAGGCAGGGGGTGTGATCCTTAACCTGGAATGCGGTAATATGTAGTCTAAACGGTGGATAAAACCGCGCCCAAAAACCTTTGCCGAAGCCAGTAGAGATGGCCTATCTCCATCTCTCTACCTAGTGCACTCTTGGATATGTTGCCGTGGGGCCCTAGAGTGCATCCATTCTAATGCGCTCTCCGGTGTTCTTGTTGGCGCCCGCTCAACCTCCCAGTCGATGTTTTAGAAATTTAAATCTCCCAATTTATAAACTCCTTGTGAGTGTCTGTATAAGCTATCTATGGTGCCTAGGAGTGCCTGATCCTCCTCGTGTGTTCATTCCGGGCTTTGTAGACTCCTGTTATGCTAACCCTCCTTGAAGGTAGAACCAGCGAACTTGAGTACACCCGGATATTTTGCCAAAATGATATCCTCTCTAACTAGGACAGCTACTCCACTCACCCACCCACCCACCCAGTTTACCCCCTTTCCTGTCCTGTTTGTGGACTGTGAATATNTCAGCCTTTGTTTCCGCAGCTCTTCTCACCTATTCCTAATACTTCATGCATTGGCGTGCAATCGTACCAATGCTTTCCTGTCCCCTATTGAGTGGTGTTTGTTCACTCGGATCTTCTCTTCGGTCGTAACACCCGAGTGAACAGCCCGTTCTTTGTCTGACCTATGGTTTCAGCTGCTACTGCGACCACCGGTTCATCTATCTCGGGGTGCTTGGAAAAACATGCTGGTCCCGGTAAATATATTGGCTTGCCGGATGTGGTATTATTTGATTCCATTGGAGTCTCGTTTCCTAACGTAAGTTGCTCAACGATGTCCTCAATTATTACCACATTTGGGTTTGCTAAGACCCGTGGTACCCTGGGTAGTTGCTTTAGCTTAACCCTAATTCATTCTCTTTCAGTCTGGTAAGTTGACGGTCTTCTGTTTATTTTCCTCACTTCAGGTTCATTAGGGACTATTTTGTATCGCCATTTAGTGGCATTCCACACTAAGTCTGCTCGGGATAGTAGCATATCTCTATCTAGTGGTTTGGCGAATTCCACCACTATGGGTCTAGCGAGTGCCTGCGGTGCCTCCGGAGGTGTTGTTTTCCACCTTCCGACCCGTTGCACTCTCCTGATTGTTATGCATGACGGAGCCCTGGCTAACCCGAGTATCTCATGGACTCTACGCCTGTCCATTTCCCTACGGGTCTTTAATTCCCTTATATTCGGATCCTCATTGTTAAGTATGAGGAGGTTTCTACGAAGATCAACTTTGGGGATACTCACTTCAAGGAGGGTACTCACTTGCTTCTTCAGCTCCTGGAGATCTGCTTCAAACCTATCTCTACTACCTTGTGAGGGAATATTTCTATCCGCTCCAGGTTCCAACCCTCGGTGTGGCTTGGGACGGTTTACACCCCGACATACCTTGGAGTTGACCACAGATAGTGGCTTAAGTAACGGTGTGGATACCGCTACTGCCTTCCAGGTCCTTGCCAAGAACTCTCTCCCTGCGGTTTTCTCCCTACTTGGCTTGAGGCTTGAGGCGACCTGAGCGTAAGTTTTCCAGGTTCCTCTGGTTGATTACAACTTCTTAAGGCTCTCGAGACGCTCACTGCTTGGTTTGCCTCTGGCCTCTGATTTCCGCTCCGCGGAAGCAGACCTGGCCACATCCTTACACTGCTTACAAATCCACTCTACCCAGCTGTTTTCGCAAAAGAATGCATAGCGTTCTTTGCTAATGCCTGAACAACCAAAGTGCGCCCACCTTTTGCAGGTTTTAACTTCAATTCCTTCAACCACCTTTTTCCCGCAGCTATCCTTCGAACATGAATAAGACACTCTCGTCATTATATATACAGGTGGTCAAAATGTAAAACCGTGATATGGAAAACAACAGGTGAATACCATACGTAAAAGCGTTACACAAAACCAGGTTTAAACAAACTAAGTGGCTGTGCACGAAGTTTCGGTCCGCGCTCCTGTGCTCTTTGACAGAGCACTGTAGATAATTACGATTGGAAAACTCGGAAGACAAAAGTGTAAAACACAGTAAAGTGTCAATTTATGACAAATGAACTTTACTTTTACGATCGAAACAATAGGCGAATTGTGGCAAGTTAAACATTTCAGCCGCTCGCCAAAGTACCGCAAGGTCAAGTCAGTTCCGCCCATGCAAATGAGCTTCACATGGGCCTCACCTGGCAGTCACCTGAGCATCCCTTGAGTGAACCCCTCCACCCTCACCTAATCGACCGGATGCGACACATTTAGGGGACGCTCAGGTGACGGTCGTAAATAATATTTGGCAGCAACGGTGTATAATTTTTTCAATTAACCAAAAATTATATACCCCTGAATCTCGCAACGTATGCGTCATTTACTACCAATTATGTACATCAGTCGTGATCTAAAAAGCTTTCCTGCTATTCGCTTTCTTACCAATGGGTTCTATGTTAGCATATGTATACATATCGCGGCCCTCCATATTCATAAACTTCACATATTCGTCAACTAATTCTTCGATTTCATTGAACGCGTCCAATCCAATATAAGCAATATACTACCAATTATCAAGAACAAAATTTTATTATGATATGTACGATGTTAGGAAAATACAGATTTAAAAGATCGTTCGCATGTTCACTGTTATCCACGTTCGGAACATCATCTGAAATGGATGGTAAGAAGTCGGATTGGTAAAGCTGTTAACAAAAATGTGATATCGCAGAACATTGTAATGTAATCACGGATACACTTACTTGTTAGAATTTATTGCCCTGTTGTCGTAGAACGATCACGTTGGATCTATCTCTGAATCCTCTCTTTGATGTACTTTGTACTTCCATCACGGAAGCTATATCGCATCACAGCATCTGTATGGGTAAATGTCAAGAGAAATTCTGTTTACCGATAATAAGACTTGTAGTCTTGCTACCGATATGCCTTGTTTCCCATTCACACCCCTCCAGTTGATGCTCGAAAGAAGCTCTTCCGAAATCAACAACTGTGTGACGCACCGGGTGCAATCTCCTGCCCTGGTCGCCCCGGTATTGCACAACATTTTCATCTGAAACAAGTTGATCAAGAAAAAGATTGTAATTACCATTAACTCGTAGTAGATTTCACAAGATAGTTTGTGTTCCAGTTAATTGAACTCCACCAGTGTTCGAACTAGAATGCTGCAAACCAACAATCCCCTGGCTCATTGCTTTCTGGTCAAGAGACACGTTGTGTAACTCCAGTTTCATCTCCCTGATGTCGGAGTGCAAGGCTAAAATGGCTTCTGGAAGATATTTGCAGCAATTGTAGTCACAACTTACTGAGAAGCAGATCTCCGTATTTGTGGGGATTGAGGGACGACTGCACCTCACTATTCTCCTTATTCCTGTAATGACAAAATGTGGAACTGCATTTGTGAAACAAGTTAAAGTTACCAACGCATGTTATCCGTTGCTCTTTTTCTAAGTAATAAAAAACACAATCCGTCCACGGTTACGCCCTGAAGCCCCTCGTTCCTTGGTTCCGAAAAATTTCGAACAGTATGGTCATTTGCAANCTATGACATCGTGCCTAACCACTGCGCTACACCGGTCGCGGTTTGTCGTTTTCGGTTATTTTATTGTTATTCTTACTTGTTGGGGATATTTTCGTTAGGTTATAGCATTTTGTTGGAGCGTTTGTTGTATTGCTTAGTATTATTCGCCTATTTTCGGCTTCCTTGCATACTAGTCGTCAGCGTGTCACAATGGGTACAAGGTCTCGAATTCTCAAACCTTTTTAGTGAAATATTTGAAATAATTACTTACTAACTACGTTTAATTGCCTCAGTTATTGTGACGCACATTTGTATTCTTTATAGAAGCCATCAAGCTGTATTATTAGTAATCATAGCTGAAATCATCAAAATTAGGTTATCACTTACACAAATTTGAATTAAGAATAAAGAAGCTACATTGCAGGGAAATAATATAAATAATTAAAAACACACAATCCGTCCACGGTTACGCCCTG